ACTTGGAGTATACTCACAAGAATACCTCCACGAAAAAAATTGAAGAAATAACACTCATAGAATTGAAAGCATTTATTGGACTTTTATTGCTTGCTGGTTTATTGGGGAAATCGAAGATCGATCTGAAATGCTTATGGAGAAGAAGTCCATTAGAACCGCCAATATTCAAAGCCACTATGTCAAGAACTCGTTTTCAGGATATTATTTCTTGTTTGAGATTTGACGACAAAAGAACAAGGGAAGAAAGAAAACGAACAGATAAATTTGCAGCAATTCGTGAAATCTGGTCATATTTCCAAAATTGCTTACAAACATGTTACACACCGGGATCAAATGTTACTATTGATGAACAACTACTAGGATTTAGAGGAAAATGTTCCTTCCGTCAATATATGCCAAAAAAGCCTGACAAATACGGATTAAAATTTTGGCTATGCGTTGATGTGGACTCACATTATGTATTCAATGCATTTCCTTACGTTGGACGACAACCGAATGAGCAAAGACAAACACAGATAGGTGCCAAAGTCGTTCTAGAATTACTCAAACCACTTTACGGCTTCCAAAGAAACGTTACAATAGATAATTTCTTCACAAGTGTTCCATTAGCCCAAACGCTTCAAACAAAGAATCTGACTCTTATAGGAACACTGCGAAAAAACAAGTCAGAAATACCTATCGAGTTTCAATCCAACGAAAATCGTGAAGTGGGTTCTTCGCTCTTTGGTTTCCAAGATGGTTTAACCTTAGTTTCATTTGTCCCAAAACAGAATAAAGCTGTTTTATTGCTCTCCTCAAAACATCACGACAATCAAGTGGACAATAAAACTGGAAAACCGATCATTATATTGGATTATAACAAAACAAAGGGGGCTGTCGATACTGTTGATCAAATGTGTCATAAATACACGGTAAAAAATATTTCAGTATTTCTATAGCTTATTTTACTTTTCAGGTAAAACGAGGTACAAAGCGATGGCCAGTTTGTATTTTCTATGGGATGATAGACATTGCTGCCATAAATGCTCTGATTGTCTGGAAAGTGAAAAATCCTCAATGGAATCAGAATACAAATCATAAACGTCGATTATTTTTGGAAGAATTAGGATTAGCACTGGTATCGCATCTGTTGGATTTTCGTTCGAAGAACTCGAAATTTTTGAACACAGATATTCTAAATGCTTTAGCAATCGTCGGTTATCCTGTGTCGAAGAACGATCCGGCAGAAGCGAATGAAAATCCCACTCAACCAAAACGAAAAAGGTGCTCCATTTGTGAACGTTCTACGGACAAGAAAACATCAATTCAATGTTTCAGTTGTTCTTCGTTCGTTTGTAGTGATCATTCTGTCAAACGTGTCTTTTGTATTAATTGTTCTAAATAAGGAACATCGTTCTCATTTTTTTCTATAGAATAAAACAAGAAAAGGTCAGATCTTACGAAAATATTGGCTGAAAAGTAAAAGGATTATTAAAAAAGAACACATGTCATCAAAATCACGGTTAAAAGAGGCCGGTACTCCAAGGGTTAAATGCAGTTAATATCCGTTTCAAGATAGAGGGTATGTCAGTAGACGTTGAATAGGTTCAGAATACAAACAGGTAGCGATATGTGATTTTCATTACTCAGAATGTGGATGCTAGCTGTAACGAGAAACTCGATTGGAGTAGCTTGCCACTACTCGACAATGATATTTATTCGCTTCTTCACATATCAAGAGCGTAAAAAGTTTACATGCAACACAAGCTTATATACGATAGACAGACAAAGGAGAGAGCTGACTCGAAGAACAATAAAGAGAAAGAAGGAAAGGAAATAAGGGAAGCAGTGAGCCATGACATATATATCGGTACACTAGTGACAACAATCTATTCCAAAAGGAAACTTATGACGTTTTCGCTCTAATTCTATTTATCTTGCATTCCAAAATGTAACCTATGAAGCTGCGGCAGCCGCAGAGTACTTTGCTTTTCTTTTTGACTAGTACGTCTCAGGCCTCACAACCCCTAAAAATTCTATGTATTTTCGAAGTTGAATCAACTTGGTGCTTTAAGCAAACTTAGGTTTTTATTTATGCTGAATTTCATAGCAAGATATGCTTTGTCATTCACAGATTTAAGGCCAAAAAGAAAACAATCATCACAACAGATGATCTTCGGGTCTTCCTGCTCTTTATTGTGGCGACTACGCGTCATAAGATTTGCACGTGACTGAGCTCAAGCCTGCAAGATGCTAGCAAGTCATACCTACTGATGCAAAAGCATTTTTTTATATTCAATGAACACCTTTTCAGCTTTGAGTATAAAAGTCAATTATTTTCTGGTAACAGCTTTAACGACACGGCTTATAAGCTTTCGCTAAAAAATCCTAGTTCACTCAGATGTTAACTTGTTAATTTACGATTCTCACACTGAAAGAGTTGAGCTGAGAGTATAATAAAGTTTCTTGATCGGGATTACTGTTTCCCGAACATTCAAACACGAATTCCTTAGGATTAACTACCAAAACGTTTGAATCCAGCATAGAGTGTCGCCCAGTGCACATACTCAAGCAGTAAGGTCTCAGACAGCTAGTTGCTTGTGTCCCTGAGCTACTCAACATCTTCACAGATATATTCTATTTGAAAAACGAAACTACAAATTCTAACATGTGTAACAGTTTTCTCGCACCATACATTTGGTATTTTGTTAATTGGAAAAACAGGATAACTAGATTGATTCCATACCCATATATAGGGTGTCCAAAAAGCCATTAGCCAAAGAAAAATTTGAATATTTTCATTATATTTTGATCAACATATTCATAAGAGGAACATTTTCTAAAAGTGTTTTGAAACATTTAGAACTGACTTTACCAAAGCATTGCAATCTTTCAGGAGTTATGAAAAACTAATATTAAAGTTGTATCAACATATTCTTGCTGTTTATGACTGAAACATTCAAGGTACACGAAGTTACAATACATATATCCGTAAGTATATATATGAAATCGAACAACACTAGTACAGAGAATTAATAGAAAAAATCATGCGCCATTTATTTTCGCTTAAAAGAATAAGTCTGTTGTTTTTCTCTTAGCTAGTTAAAGTTAAAGTTCTTTGTTAAAGTCATTTGTAAATACTTCAAAACAATTTTTGTCAACGTTTCTCTTGTGAATATGATCTATGAACAGGTTTTTATGAGTGCTAAAAATACCAGGTCATTTGGTCAAAATATGACGGAGATATTCAAATTTTTCTTTGACTAATGACTTTCTAGACACCCCATATTTCATGTATTATAATTCTATCAGAAAGAATGTGACGCTCTTTGGAGTTAACCCTGATGAAATGAAACACCGTGCAAAGACGGAAAAGATTTGTTAAATCCTGAAAAACAGCAGGTATGGAACAGTTATAGTAGGAAAGTGGCTTCAACTGCGGAAAAACCAACGAGGAAACTAAGGAAAGAAAGGTGAATTAAAGTTGCTCATATTAAAATGATTGCTTTATTCCCCGTGTTGTCGATAATACATATGACGTTAATTTCTAGTAATATGAAAAATCCCAACTTTCCTTTCCTTTCCTTTCATAAAGAAAAAGGAAATTGAAAGTGCCACTCCTACTAGATATGTTACTTTATATTTACTTTACTTTATTAATCTATATAAAGATAAAGATAATGATAAGATTTTTTTCTTTTTGCAAAAAAGAAAAAGACTCATGATATAATAGTAAAGTATGGCATCTGGAAGAAGTCTATTCATTAAATGCTTCTCGTCGATCTCAAATCTGAGTGTGCGGAAAAAGAATATTAAGAGAAAACAAAAATATTAGGTCATTTTCTCGTTCTTCCGTATTATCCTTTTTTATTCACTTTTCGTATCCAAAAAACAAAAACAATAAAAAAGCCTATCTCTTTCTCTCTCTTCCAATCGATTCCTTCTGTTTAATATTATAGAGAGATAAAGAGGGCCTTCTCATGCCAGAAGGTGTCTCTACTAACAAAAAAAATCATTATTTTATTCTATGACATATTTTTTGAAAAGAGCTGCTTCTATCGTTTAACTGAACTCTAGAATTACAGACAGTCCTAAAATAAATTCATTCTAGGAATTTCTTTTAACCTATCTTCATTTTAATAACAGCTCGATCAAAATGAATTTGTGACTTTGATCATGGAAAACATGTGATTTTGTTTATACAATTTCGATCAATGTTCACTCGACTGTCTGTTGTTCGTTTAGAAAGTTTAACAATTCTTTTTCTCGACAAAGAGATAAGCCAAGTCTACGTAGTTCGATATTTCAATTTATAATTTTTCTGACTTCATCGTAGAAAATATCAACTATAGTTGATTAATTATTTAATTCCTATGTTTTTCATGAATAGAAAATAATCTTATTTTTTAATATAAAGGTCAATACAGATAAAGTAACAACTCTTGTTGAAACTATCAACCATTTTTAATCGAATGAATTTTTGATACGTTGAAATAAGAATTCTGTTAATTTTATTGGCATCTTTGATAGAATAAATTTGAAGATATGTATTGCCAATTGTTCTTTACTTTAAAAAGTTATCAGCGCAATCCCTGTAGAATTAAAGTGGGAAACACGATTGATTCGCTCCATTCATTAAACAGAGATCTAGCTACATGAATCATGCAACACTTGGAAGCTTTATTAATTCTGTTCTGCCTTTGACGATTTCCAATGCGTGCGGATGTCATTTTCCTCTTACTTTAAAATAAATATATATTTATCAATAACTATAATTTATAATTTAATAAATGATAAAGTCAATTATAAATTAAATGAAACTATTCTATTTTTACCCGATATTGACTATCAACAATCTGAAGAAGTGTAAAAACTGGAGGAAAATTCAATGAACAAAAACTCATGAAAATATGCACTCATGAACCGATTCAAATTGTTTAGACGTTTCTGATGAAAGATGTCTCCGTTTCAAAGTTTAAAATCCAATCAATACATTCACATGCGCTTATGTTTACGAATTCATGTTCATTGATTTTTCTCCAGTTTTTACACTTCCTCGCATTGTTCGTAGTCAATATCAGGTAAAAATGGAATCGTTTCATTTAATTTATAATTTACTTTATCATTTATTAAGTCATAAATTATTTGAAAGTAACTAATATTTATAATAAATCAAATTTGTCGTAAATAATGTTGAAAATAAATATAAATAGACACCCATACAAATGCGTTTTCAGTCGTCTCTGTAACGGTTGCTAGATGCTTTCCATCTGTCACTTGTCATGGTTTGTCGCTTGGGTTTGCTTTTCTCTCTCTATAGTGCAATACTTATTATTTTCGTGTTTCACAAAAGACCTAGAGCAAGGAAGACGTTTACGTGCGGATAGAAGTAGTAATGGACATATTTGAATGAGCAGAGAACAAGTGCATATAGTTATTCAATTTTTTAACAAAATATATCTGATTAGATTGAAAACGATAGTTATAACTATATATCCTTATGAAATATATTGATGATCATTATTTTAGAGGATAGATAAATAGATCACACAATAGTTTCAGCTTTTGCATACTAGTCTTATATACTCACATTTCAAACTTTCCTTTTTGATTGGTGGAACAAGCAACATAAGGTGTTATGCTTGCATTGGCGTTCGATGTATAAATACCACAAAAAATCAGTTGTAGAATAATCCATTAGTATTAAGTTTTTTAAAGCAAAGAACAAAAGGAAATATATTTTTAAATTTATTCGATGAAACCGAGGTCGATCGTTTCGGATTCTTGAACCGTTGTCAATCGGTCGAAAAATAACGAAAACGGCTGGTTGCGTTTAATCTTTGCGATTTCCTTACACCCAGATTCCAACCAGTTTTCATCAACCACAAATGTTCTGAGAACATGCCAATAAAATTAAAAGAATTTTTATTTCAACTAAATTGAATTTTATTCAACTTATCAAAAATTCATTCGATTAAAACTGTTTGGTAGTTAGAACTCAATTGACTTTTTAACCAACACGTTAATCAGCTGTAACTCGAGCAGTTTTAACTCTAACACTATTTATTTTGTAATTACAATTCTTCTTTCTTTAAAGATTCGCTGTTTAACACGTGATGCAACAAGTGAAAAAGCTCAAGCAGTAAAAAGGTTGAGTGATGACACCGAGATTGTTTCATGCGATATCAACAAGAAAGAGGATGTTCAAAGAGCATTTAAAGATTCGTGGGCTGTTTTTGCTGTAACTGACTTTTGGGCGCAACCCGACAAACCTGAAGCTGAACTCCAGCAAGGTATAGTGATGGCAGATGCTGCTGCTGCGCTTCAAATCCCGTACTTCGTATTCAGCGCCCTTGAAGACACTCTCAAACTGAGCAGTGGAAAATAGTAAGTCTTCTTCTTATGATATACCGTCATTCAATGTCTATTCCAAAATATTTTTTAGCGACGTACCACACTTTGTACAAAAAGCTAAAATACGTGATTATATCAAGGAAAAATACCCGCTATTGAAAGCAATTTACATCGAGCCCGCATTCTACATGCAGAACTGGTCAGGCAGTCTCAAGCCACAGAAATCAGGTGATGGTACGTTGATTTTTGCATTGCCTCTCAGTGAGAAGAAAACATTGCACATGGTGGATATTGAAGATACTGGTCCGCTTGTTTTCAAAATTTTGAGTGATCCAGACAAATATGTGGGTCAAGATATTTGCCTTTGCGGCGACGCAATTCAATTTACCGACATTCCTAAGGTTTTTACTAAAGTTACTGGTGTTCCGGCTTCAGCAAAAGCATTAACGGAAGAAGAATACCGATCGAACATTCAGTTCTTACCGAAACTTTTACAAGATGAATTATTTGCTATGTTCCAATGGTTTCAAGAGTATGGCTATTATGGCAAAGACAAAGATTGGACAACTGGACAAAAGGTGACACCATTAAATACATTTGAACAATGGTTGAAAAAAACCGGTTGGAAAGGTGAATAATTGCTGATGAAGATATTTCGCCACCAGAAACAATACCTCTTCATGGTACTTATGTAGTGTAATTACTTTCTATCCTAATAAATGACACCTTTCCGAGATCAGAAAGATTCGATTAAAAAAAAATCATATAACATATTCTTCTCGAAAAATTTTTCGATATTTGAAATAAGGTAGCAATCAATCAGTCGCATATTAGTATTTCTGTTAGAAGATTGAAATTAAATTGAATGGCCGATGATTGATAAGAATGAACATAAAGACAAGGCATCGCATTCATCTTCATAAGTGATATGAAGTGTAACATTATTTAGTAAACATGTTTTATTATTGATTAGAAATTCTTCGATATAAATTTCATGAATTCGAACAAGATCAAGTTCAGCAAGAAGAAGTCATTAAATCATTAACCATTGTTGATTGACATATTTTTTGCGATTTCCGACTATAAGCAGTTAATTTTTCCATAAATGGAAATCATTGAACAATTTGAAGAAAAAACTCATCTTCAAAGGGACAATTATTGTATGATGGCACTTCAAGGGTACATTTAAATAATTCAACAGGAAATTTGTTCGTTATAGTATTGTAATATGATATTCATTTGCCTCTGAAAAATAACAAGTAACGTGAGGTGCTGCACCTCGCTTAACCCTTGACTATATCTTGCGTACACTATAAAAAAGATGCAAAATGATAACCTGTTTCAGAGTTTATGATAGTGCAACGTAGAATAAACCGTTTTTACCCAAGGGGGAAAAAGAGAAACTTCACCGTACTTCACTAATACTTCATTTTACTCCACTCTCTTTCATTGTCATTCACCAGAGGGCTATCGAAATCTGAAATATTCTCTAAGCATTTTCCACAAAATATTTTGTGACAATTGAACAATTTGAATGCTTCCACGGACAGAATATTTCCAATAAAATAATATCATACTCTAGAGGACTCTTGAACATCCAATTACGCTATACCACACATTCAATTGGAAAAAATTCGCCGCTTATTATATATTTAACAGTTCTTCTAATGATCCGCACACTTAAAGTAAGAAAAAAATATACAGTTTCTTTCCTTCTAACAAAGATCTGTTGATGGAAATTTTCATGCAAAGTTTCTCTTTAAAGATTTTTCATTGTAAACTGTGTAATTTCGCAAATTCTTAGTCTTCTAATCTTTTCTTTCCTTCGGCGCGAGCTGAAAGGGCGCTAATTACATGACACACAACTTCCACTTTTCATTCCCTCAAATTTCTAAATACGAATCGACCCAAACAAATAAATATTGTTTTCCCACTAGAACAATCATCTAGTTTCACATTACTTTCTGCCCATAAAAAGTTATTATCCATCACAGTTGAACGATACAATAATCCCGCTGTAGCAAGGTCATGATAATAGAACCGCGAAACAATGCTTAGGTTAGCAGCTAGTCGTTCGTCGGCACCCATTCAGCGCGCCATTCACAGCTAGCTGCTATTATACTCAACGGCACATTTTCGATTTGCAATTCTTATTCATCTCCATTACATTTCATTGAGTTATCTACGCGCTGAACCGTTTTCCTTCGTAAAATAAGAACTCCAATGCGTACTGTTTTATTGACCAGCAGGTTCCGAATACTAGGTTTCGATTCCGAAACACTGCAGTTCGCTGTTAAATTCAAGAGTGTCGCCCAGTGAAATATTTTTCTTCAATCGTATTGATGTGAAGGAGACACCGAGTCATTAGCCAGGTAGCAGCGGCTAGCTGCTGCTACCGTCGACTGAAAACTCTTCAAAAGTCATATGATTGCCGACTTACAGTGAGTTCAATGATAAGCGAATGTGCATGAAAACTCCTAGGGCTTCCGTAAAAGCTGAGTTCGAACTATCGTGAAAGTCACTAATCTGTAATTTGGTATATTCTGTGAAAGTGAACATTTCCTGCTGATGGAAAAGGGCGCTTAATAGATGTCGTTACTTACGATGATTTTAGTTTATGCTAATGATTGCAACTTTCCTGGAATTCGATATCATCCTTACAGTTACTATCTTGACTGTAACCGTGAGTAAGGATTGTGGTGATTCAGGTCACTACTGA